AAATTGGTTATAATGCTGTTCACCAAATTTAATGAATATGTACAATTTTCATATTTTTTCTACATTTTAATAATTTCGAAAAACAATTTCAATCCAACATCCAACCATCTGTTAGTAATCCTCTGTTATTTTAAGTTTTTTTTTTATTATTTAAAAAATATAATTTAAGGGTCTTTTATATAAGAACAATAAGTTATGAAAAAATTATGCCACTCGATTCTATGATATTATATATCCTACATAATTAGCCATCCATTAGCATCGCAATAGGTTACAATTCCACAAACGTTTCCTAAGTGACAACCTAATACAATATACGTATATACATTTCGTTGTGAATAGAATGGACATTTTATGAGTATCGTTATTTTTAATATTCTATTGTTAGAGTTTTAACTTTTCGTGTTAGATCTATGATGTTCATAAATATTTTCATATTCAAACTCGAATATTGGTAATAAATAATAATAKAATATYTACGGGGAAATTCCGTTAAATTCTTAAATTACAAAGTAACGTTTTTCAAACGACTCAATTTTGATTAATATTTTTTTGACATTCGAAACAACCTTATCATGCTTTCGTGGAAAACAAATTTCGTAGAATTTCAAACACCCTTACAGAAAACAAACTATTGTCTGAGCAAATTTAGTTATTATCATTTCATTATGCTCTTCATCCCTTATACCTATCGAGACCTGCTCTCTCTCTTTCCCCATCTATTTATCTTATTCGCTCTATTCGTTGTTCAAAGAAACCTTTGTCGATGTGTTGATTTTGGAAAACAATAATGGTTTTCAAACAACAAAATCTACATAGGTTATCTCGTCATCTGAAAACTTGCTTTGTTACGTCCGTTTCGCCGATATCGATTTTTGATGAAAATTACTGGTGACCTTTGGCTGTGTGTCTGCGTCTGTGGGAGGGGGGGGTGAGTTACTCATCCCCGTGCGCTGAATATCATCGTATATAAATGTAGGTGCTGCTCGTTGAGACCAAAATACCGTTATTTAATTATCCGTTTGACGTCGCGGAATACGCCAGCACAAAGGCTGTATAGTATATGAGGTATACATGTATATTTGTACAGCTATATAATATAATATAATAATATACATAAACCGGCATTTAAGATCGCTACTGCACCTGTTTAAGACAACCCCGACTGAACGATAAATGACAAAGGAATTAATCCGAGAAWCTCGAATACTCGTTGTATATTTTCTCTTTGTCGTTGAATGTAATATATTATAATATATGACGTATATAATAATAGAGATGCCGGATGTATTAGATCATAATAATATAATTGTTGAGATCCATGGGTGACCTGGTATGGGTGGAAGGTCTGCGTGATGAGGTGGCGGTTGTCACACAGTYACACAACCACATCTATAGCAACATAYAATATTAATTGTAAAACAATTACTTTGATACAATGATCAATGGTAATAGATTATACGTAGTATTTCAGTTTCTAATCAAGCTGCAGTTAAAACCAGGAGTAAGTCTATTGTAAACAACAATACGATATTTTAGACTGAATAAGTGTTTGTCTTTATATCGTCTAATGAGTGTGTACGAAAATAATTAATTGTTATYCTTGTAYTAATACTGCATTGATATAGCCCACAAATTAACATCCACCAACTAAATATGGTTATTGATTTTATTATTACGCTTCAGTGAGAAATTACTAATAAACATAATATTACCAACGGTTGCGTGTTCCCCGCAGTTGGTTAAAATAGGCACTTTAAATTACATACCTACATGATTACACGTTTATAAGTTAGTGAAGTTATGTATTCTACAAACACAAAAATAAAGTGATGTGTAGGAAAGGGTAGTGAAGGAAAAGTAAAAACTATTAGTTATAACCAAGACCGACATTCATTTTTGGCTATATTATATGACTCTCTAGATATTAAAACAAAATATATTTTTGAGCTGCTCGACTCCTTCTCCTCCCAAGCCAATGTACACCCACTTCACCCCTGCAGGGTAGTTTGGTCAAATATTTTCTCAGTGGCCAGTTAAAATAATTATATAAATATATATATATATATATACGTGATACTATGGTGGCTATATATAGACACACCGCAATACATTTWTATATACAGCAAACGTATATTATATATGTACTGGAAAACAAACCTCTCCTTAATCTTTTTCTTTCTATATTAGAGTTTAAATCTCGTTTCCCAACRAAATGCAATCTATAAAGTCTAGAAAATTGAGAACAGATTACAAGTAGAAATGGTTGTTCCTAAACATATTTAAAACATGTTAGATACACCTGTGGTAAAAAATTTTAATGTCTTACATGCCTAGCTATCTATATTAAAATACATTTACTTACATATATTATAATATTTCCTTTTGTTTAGCTATATATATATATATATATATATTTTTTTTTTAAATTCACACAACCACAATGAAACTATTGTGAGCAAATTGTGATGAATCTAAATATTGTAACGGACACAACACTACCGCCAACAGCGCATAATCCRCAGCACTACGATCATTTGACGCTAAAATTTAACGACATAGAGCGCGTACTGGCAAAGCGTTTTGGAGGATAGTCGACTAACTAATTCATTGCCATAAATCATATGACCAAAACTATATATTATCCATTTTAATGTCGCTTTCCGTCCGGATTGAAATATGATATCGGTAAAAAAACAAGAGAAACTAAGTAGTGCGTTCTTACACATCTACCGCGGACGCAATCCATCATTGAACATTAGTAAAAGTCACACCGTATCGGTTCAGAAACCACCACTGGTTCAAATAAGCTAAATACCTTGGCATTACAATAGGGTGTAAACTCAACATCAGACAGCACATCCAAAACATTACCAAAAAGACCACCCGTACTCGTTGTATACTCTACCCCATACTTAACCGAACAATACATATCCCATCCCACTAACTGCCAAACTTAGCATACTTAAACTATACGTATCCTCCGTTCTTACATAATATGTGTTACCTCTTGGGCACCTTTCATCGGTCCTTCACATTGAAGGCGTATCGAATCCGTCCAAAATATCGGTATACGTACAATAATGGGTATGCCCGATATCGACAAAAATTCGGTTCTCCTTAAATCTGCAAACTTCAAATCCATCCAAACCTCTAATCAGTACCAATCCAAATCAATATTCTACAAAAGCTTCTTCTCAGATCATGACCACATTCGACTTCTAGGTAAAATTCACACTCCTCCTACTACCAAAAAGCAACCCAAACCCTACCCATTTACATGATGGATTAACCAATAAACCTAACCATATTCAAACTTCCATCCACTATAGTTGAGGCGCAAGCCTGGTATAGTTACGGCATAGCCATCCCCCCCCCTCCCAAAGCAATTCTAAGTCAGAAACCACCTTCCCGACACGCTTTGACCGTGTTAGTACCTGGCTACTGCAGCTCTCGGTCTCCAATCGGCCTCTATACGACGGCTGTTGGACGGCTAGAAGCAGTTGGCCGACTAGACACGTGTCGAAATGCGTTTTTCCGCCACGCTACAGTTTGCCGCCGTAATTATATCCCGTATATTACCCGTGCCGCATATATATACGT